TAGAATTTGGGAATGAGACTATGATACTTAATGCCTGTTTTTCTTCATTAACAAGCCGTAGGTAGATGATGTTTTCCTTACCCGGAGAAAAATATACTTTAGTTCTTAGTTATAGATCCCTAATTGTGTAAAGATTGTGGCTTTGGTTTCTGAATTTGTTTCAGTTGGCTCAAGTACAACAAACCTTTAAGGTGATATTAGGCATGTAAGAGGTACCCAGTATAACTTGCTGGCTGTTTATTATCAGGCAGTCATGTTCACATGCATGAATGGTGTAACTTACAGTTAAATATGACCTCTAGATTTTACTCCGTCTTACAAAGTCTACATTTAAAATCATAGGTTGAACTTGGATTTTCTTCCCCTTTTTAGGGTGAACAAATAACATAAATGGAATTTCTGAATAGAATAATACATTTTATGCCAGGGTCAGTTTTTCTGACTGGTCTTGAATTTTTGTAGATCTTGGTGGTAAGAATTATAATCATAAATAAAATTATGTGCTTATCATTGTCCTTCACATGTATAATCTTGATTCTCAAAATAGCCCTATGGGGGTACACACTTAGTTTTCTCATTTTGCAGATGGGGAAACCGAGGCACAGAGAAACCAAAGAACTTGATCAAAGTTATACAGCTTGCAATTGGAGGAACTTAAGTAGAACCCAGTCTTGACACCAGAGCTTATGTTCTTAACCTCAAATCATTAATACCTTCTTGAACTGCCAGGTCTAACCTGATTATGACCATTTAAATTTATCCGAGGTTTTACAACCGAAGAAGTTTATGTTACTCTCATTTGTTGTAGGTCTGTGATTTTGTAACTGTTTATATTGTTATATCTTTTATGTCCAGATGTATTGTATAGTGGGATAACTGAAACATTTAATTCCAGGAGAGTTTTAAGCTACTTGAGAAACCCCTTGTAAAGAACCACATATATACAGGGATTAATTAAAAAGTGTGATACTTCCTAATTATTTACTATGAAAGAACTCGGGCTGAAGTGTCATTCATCTCCAAAGCCATAATCACAGTTAAGGGAGAATTTGACGGGTAATGCTTGAGTGAATTGAACGCACAATACCACTTTACTCTTGATACTCTTCTAATGTGAAGAAGAAATAATATGAGCAGTTCTTTGCATCATCATTAATTTTATTTACACAGTGGTTCCAGATTTTTTCTTTATCAGATCTTCTGTTGAGCACTTAAAAGTAGGAGCACTTAAAAGATTAGTTCAATTTTTACTTGTGTTTATATAAAAAAGAAATGTTCTAGGATTCTATGGTGAAAAAATGGCCAAAAGGCAAGAGAGAGGAAAATAAACTGAGGACTGGACTAAATCATACAGGAATCAGTGGTTCAGTCTTTAAAGGTTTTGTTGTTGTTCTTAAAGCTTTTTTTGTTGTTTGTTTTGTTTTAAATAACATTGGCTTGTTTCTTTAAGGTTTTGGCATTATAAAAGATGAGTCTCTGATTGATAACTTTATTTTTATACAAAGATCTTCGTATTGGTAGATTTGATGGAACTTGTGATTCTAGTCCTCATGACAACTGGTTACTTGAAAAGCTGACAGTTGTGTAACTTGTTATGGGTCTTAAATTTAAAAAGGCAGAAGTTGTCTAAATTGAGAGATGTTGAATGTCTTATTGTCTGTTAGAGTGGTAGTTAAGAAGCAATTGCATAGTAACCTAATTGTTGAACAGTGTTATCTGTGAAATATTTGCATTTCCACTCTGTGTAAAGCATCAAGCTGGGCCTATGGAGGGGGAGGAGATGCAAATTTTATAAAGGGTTTTGAAAGTATTTAAATACTAATTGTTTGCTTATGTTATGGTTTGGGGTGAAAAGGACATTTGTGACCTTAATTTTGGTCAGGCCAGTTCTTCTTATTGGCAACCCTTGATATGTAGTTGGCCATAAGCTTTTAGTTTATATATCTTATTTCTAGAGGTAAGATAAATGTAGTACTTAAAAGAATATTTCTATATAGATATAGGTGTGTGAAATAATTTTTTTCATAAGAAAGTGTGTATTTATGTGCCTTTTTCACTTTTGGAGTCTAAATAAACTTATGGATTAGGTGACAGGATACATGCAATCCTTGAGTTTACGTGAAGTACCTTCCCCCACACTTTGAATGTTCTCTTGGATATTAGCAGAAGCTATTCAAATGGTCTAAGCCAGTGAAAAATGGTGCATAGATGTTCCTTTAGGAATGTTGAATATAGCAGAGCAGTAAAAGGAGTGTCTGAGTAGTATCTCTCTCTACCTGTATCCTAATGCTTGTCTTACGATCAGCTTGATAATTGACATCTAAGGTGTTTAAACTCCCATTTCTCCATCTGTAAAATGGGAGTAAGTTTAATAGATACCAATAAGTCCTGCAGGTGTTCTGGAGGAGGTAACATGTTTATAACAGCGGTTCTTAAAAGACATAAACTAGAGCTCTTTGGTATCTTCATTAATTTTTAGGAAAGTAAAGAGGTCCTGAGACTAATAGTTTGAGAACTGCTTGGTATAGAGGAATGAATACTGAACTGTGAGCCAAACCTGGGTTTTCTAGTTACAGCTCTGTTGCTTAACTGATTGTATGACCTTGGACAAATCATTTATCCTTTCCAGGCCTCTGCATTGTCATTTGCAGAATGAACTTCTGCTACATGCTCTATGAAGTTATTTTTTAAAAGATAATTCTGATTATATGAGTGTTGATTATTTAAAAATTTTGTCTGCCTTTTGGCAGGGGTAGGGAGAAGGGTGGTGATGAGGGAAAGTTTATTCAGTGTATGTCTTTTTTGCCTTAAAACTCACATGGTTAGTATAGGGGTTTTTTTGCTCATATTTGTCATAGTATCATGTACACATACTTTTGCAAGCATTTGTTGGAAAGGAAAAACATTTTTGCTGGGAAGTTTGTTAATTATTGTGGCTCAGGATGTGTTCTATTTTGAAAGATTACTATATCCATTGTACTTCTGCTCTTTTATGATTGTGTGAGAAATGCTCTCACCCATCCAATGCCAAAGGATGGACACGGAGACACGAGGTACAGTGAAGTGAGACTTCAATAACGGCCTTGCAAATTCGGGTGTCTGTGAATGGGACAGGCACACGGAAAAGGGCTGTAGCAAGCAATTTATTCCCTAGTACGCAAGTCCCTCCCCCCACTTCCTCGTTGGCTGAGTACTATGGGGTGCATAGTCTTCCCGAGTGAAGGCTAAAATTTATTACCCCCTTTGTCTGGGGGCTCAGGACAAGCCTGCGAAAAAGGCCCACTTAAGCCCTGTGAAAGGAGAAACACTAGGGAATGCAGAAAACAGTGGGGGCTAGTAACTAATTACCATCTCAAGGAGAGCTCTGTCTGTTCAGAGACCCTCTGGGAATAGGCTGGACCAGACAGACAACTTTTGGGCTGGGCCTGAATCAGTTAGAACACCCTCAGATAAGTCAATTCTGAAAGTGAATCACTTAGATTGTTGAGAACTTTTGGGTTGGGCCTGAGTCAGTTAAAACACCCTCAGATAAGTCATTTCTGAAAATGAATCACTTAGATTATTTTTCTTACAGATTGAAGATGATACTTTTTTTTGGCAAGTAATTATAATGCAAGCCCTTGCATGGCGATCCAAATTTATTGAACTATTGATGCTAAGTTATTGCACCACTTTAATTAAGGCTTTTAGTTTAAGTTTGGCCACCTCAAAGTAGTTGTAACATCAGGTTGGTCAATTTAAATACTGTGGCTCCCTGTTGGATAGACATACAATCTTTACACCCAAATGTTAATACATACAAAGCAACAAGGCATTGTTAAATAAAACAGCAATAGTTACTGCAAATTAGGCCTTGTGACCAATTACACATGATTAAAATTACTTCCCACATTCACATCCACAGTACTCGTCCACCACTCACAGTACTTGTCCACCATTTAACATTTCAACCAAAACGTTACACATGTGAAACAATCACTAACAGGCAAAAATACTAAACCTGTATATTTGGCATTGCAGATACACTTATGCATGAGCAAGCAAGGGATTCACAGTGAGAATCTACAGCTGTAGAAGCCTGAAAATGATTTACAAAAATTGTTAAAAAATTGTTTGAAAATATGCATTTGTTGTAGACCCCCACTGTAAACACAACTATAAACATTGTTCCCTATGTAAACAAAAAAGGAAACATAAAAAGAGATTTGAAAAGTCTGGACATTTCCTTCCCAACAGATATTAAAGGCAACGTCTTTAAGACATTATACTGAAAGGACTATTGTATTTTAAAGACATGATCACTGTCTCCACAAGTTTTTTAAGAATTAAAAAACCGATATAGCTGTGTTAATCAGAGCACTTATTTTGTACAGTACAATGATAATGACCTTGAATTTCTTAAAAAAAAATACAATAAGTTACAAGTCTCAAAGAAGCGAAGTCATCTGGAGTAGTTTATATAGGAGCTCTTTGGACTTTTTTTATTATGCTAAAATAGTGGAGCTTTTAGGATTTACATTATTGTACTCTCTAATACAAAGTTAAAGTACACAGTACACCATTTTCTTTTTTTTTTTTTTTTTCCTTTTTGTCTTTTTTACTGGCCGGTAACGGGATCGCAACCCTCGGTGTCGCGCCTGTACCGGGGATCGGCAACGGGATCGCAACCCTCAGTGTCACACCCGCGCCACACTCAGCCAGTGAGCGGGAACCGGTTACCACATGGGATCCGAACCCTCGGCAGGAGCGCCGCTGTGCTCCCAAGCGGCGCACTTCCTAGTGCGCCACCGGGTCGGCCTGACAGTACACCATTTTCATACATGTACAACATTGGTGGATGAAGAATGTCTCTTAGCAGTAAATACTGGATGTAGCCTCTGGTTTTACCATCTGCATACTCTAGGACTGTTATATAAGTAAAAATCTCTCTTGTGATACTGGAAAGTGATTAGAATGTGCAAACTGATATAGTAGCTTTCATCCGCCTGTTACAGGGTACCCACCACAGGAAAGTCCATTTAAGATGCTGGTAGGTTTAACAAAGTTGGAATGCTGGCACTGTTGAATTGGGCAACAGTTCTTCAGACCTGGCTCAGAGCTACAATGCATTTAGTATATTAAAGCAGCTGACATATTGACTTTTTGCAGGCCTTCCCAGGCACTGGAATTTTTCTGTTAATTTGCTGCACTAGGTCATAAAAGATCTCATTAACATTTATATTTGATTTTGCAGAAGATTCTAAGAATGCACAGTTGTTCCATGGTCTTGCTAGATTTTGACCTTGTTCCTTTTCTACAACTCTTTTGTCTTCCAAGTCACACTTATTACCAACCAGAATCATTGGAACATGATCAGTATCTTTAACTCGAAGAATCTGTTCTCTCAGACCTTATAAATCGTTAAATGTGGACTGTGCTGTGATGTAATAAACTAATGCAAAGCCTTGTCCATTTTTCATGTACAAATCCCTAATTGCTGTGAGTTGTTCCGTTCCTGCAGTATCCAAGATTTCAAGCATACACTGTTGTGCATCTACTTCAACTTGCTTTCTGTAAGAATCTTCTATCGTAGGATCATATTTTTCAACAAAAATTCCTTGAACAAACTGTACAGTCAGAGCGGACTTTCCAACGCCTCCTGATCCAAGAACGACCAGCTTATACTCACGCATGATGCAAACTTGTCAATACCTATTACCTCTCACGCTGTTACTGGGTCCCCGCAGCCAGCATCCCCCCGCACTCTCTCTGGGTCGCCTGGCGCCACGGCAGTCCTGCTGCTGCCGCCGCTCTGGCTCTGAAGATGATACTTCTGAAAAGACCATTAGTTCTAGTTCTTTTTTGCCCTGGGAAAAGGTTCTTTGAATTTTGTGCTTGCTATTTTCATATCCTGTCTCTGAGACTTAGTATCTCAGTTTTGTCTTGAAGTAGCCATTCCTGGGATCTGTAGTCCAGCCATTCCTGGGATCTCTCTTAACTGTTTAGTTCAGTATTTGTTCTAAGAAATTATTGGCATGGCAATGGTGTTCACATGTATATATCCTACACTCCATATTTTGGGGGAATGCTTTATTAGTTGATTAAATGCTTGAGTATCATCTAGGGGCTAGGTAGGCACTGTGCTAGGGTATGAAAAGGGTAATTCCTGCCGCCTTAAGGCTAAGAATGTCTAGTGAGAGAGACAGGTAAGTAAATAAGCAGTTATAAAACAGTGCTAGTAGGAAAATATGTTGGTTCTGCTAGGGATCAGAAATGAAGAAAAGCATAATTTTGGGGATGTCTAGAAAAGTTTTACAGAGGAGATGGTACCTGTATTGTGTCTTTTTTTTCCCCCTTTGGCAACTGGCCAGGACAGGGATCGAACCCTGGACCTTGGTCTAACCAACTGAGCTAGCCAGCCAGCCCCTGTATTGAGTCTTGAATGAGTAGCAGTTAAGGATTGGCTGTGAGAGGGCAGTCCTGGTAGAGGTACTAAAGATTAAGGCTAACTCATAGTATGGCTCAAGATTGGTCTTATTTTCCACATAGCAGAGGAAATAAGACATGTACACAAATAGTTTTGGAGCAGAATATGAAGTGATAAATGCTGCATAAGGTAAAAGTAAGTTGCTGTGGGATTTCAAAGTAGGAAGACATTTCTGATAGGGACCAAGGAAATGTTTATAGAGAGATATCGTTTGAATCTGGCCCTTGGAAGATGGGTACAGTTTTGACAAAGACGACTGTGGGAGGATTCCAGATGTGAGGAATAGCAGCTTGAGCAAAGGAATGTTGTATATATTAGCATTTTCTATTTGGAAGAAGTCAACTTAGAATTTTTAACTCAGCTCCTGGACAAGTATTATATTTATATGTTAGCTTTTGTGGCTTGATGATCTTTTAAAAGTTAACGTGTTCCCTTGTGAATGAGCCTTATAATTTCAATTCAGAACTGTCAAAAGTGTTACCTACTTTTCTTAAAGATTGCATAGAATTTAATGCACAGGTTTTGAATGACTATGATCAAAATCTATCTTTAGTTGTCTTTATTTTAATCATTTGAAGTGGTCAGTGAACGTCTGGGTAACATTTGACTTATGAAATCCAAAATCAAAAATAATTTATTTTTGAGTAATACTGGATTCATTATTTTGCTTATTTGGATTATATTAGTTATTTTAGTTTATTTGGTAGAATTCCAAATTTAGTTTCTGCTGTAATGCTTGTATTGAAAATGTGAATTTGGGGCCGGCCTGTGGCTCACTCGGGAGAGTGCGGTGCTGATAACACCAAAGCCACGGGTTTGGATCCCATATAGGGATGGCTGGTTCGCTCACTGGCTGAGCGTGGTGCTGACAACACCAAGTCAAGGGTTAAGATCCCCTTACCGGTCATCTTTTAAGAAAAAAAAAAAGAGAAGAGGAACAAAATAATAGACTGTAGGCTAGAAAGGATCTTATCAGACATTGAAAAGAATGGCTATTTTAATTGGTCTTTTAAAAGAGCAGTGATGGGGCCGGCCTGTGGCTCACTCGGGAGAGTGCGGTGCTGATAACACCAAGGCCACGGGTTCGGATCCCATATAGGGATGGCCGGTCAAAAAAACATCAGGGAACAATTTGAGCATAAGGCAAATTTTGCATTTGCTTTTGCAGGATTTAATCTGCAGGGTCAGGGGTAAACAAACTGTGGCCTACCAACTGGTGGCCTTTTAAAGTTCTGTTGGAATACACCTGTGGCCATTTGTTTATATTTTCTATTGCTGCTTTTGCACTGGAATGGCAGAGTTGAATAGCTGCAAAAGAGACCTTATGGCCCACAAAGCCAAAAATACTTTCTGGCCCTTTATAGAAAGAGTTTGCTGATTCCTGCACTTGGTAAATCCAAGAAACTGCACCCAGCTGAACAGAGCTGCCTAAAAATACATGCATATACATTCGCACACCTCAAACATCTACCAGCTACCTCAGTTTACCACTTGCATTATGAACCACACCCATCCACTTCTGTTGTTACAGTTTTCCATCGATTTCAGATAACCTTCCTTCCACCACTTCACAATAATTCACGAGCTGCAACCCTTCTGATGCCCACTTCCACAAGCAAACTTCAGGTCTTTCTCAAGGTAAAGTGCTATATTTATTGTTGTATTTGTGCATTTTGTAATCTTTTAACATGTATAAACTGTGTAAAACTGTGTGAAGGTACTTCAAATAGTTCATGGAAAAATGGAATTAAAAGATATGATAGAAGATGGAATTAAAAACAATTCTTTCCATGAACTTTTTGAAGACTCCTTGTATTAGGTTTCTATCTTTTTTTAAAAAGGGTGTAACTGACAAAGTTTTTTGAGTTTTGCTTCTAATCCCACTTCCCCTATGAGTTCTATGATGTTCATTGCACAATTTTCTGTAGTTTGGTAAATTTTAGGAACCCATATCTTACATTATTGAGGAACTGACTGTAATTCTCATCCTGCAAAAAGTACTAATTCATGCACCAAATATTTCTTGGGTGGAATGACAGTTAGATGAGTTAATGGACATATAGCACTTAGATTAGTGGTTGGGATGTAATAATTACTCAAATGTTAGTTGTTATTGATTGCTATTACCATGTGCCAGGAACTGTTCTAAGTACTGCATTGATGAACAAGACAGGTAAGAGCCTTGTCCCCCTGGAGCTTATATTATACTTAAAAAAATCTATATTAATATACATTTTGCCTAGTAACCCAGCCTCCTCCCCTCTCCAGAAAATGTTTTGGTGTTATTACTAAATGTGTTTTTAGGGTATCTGGTTAGCTTATTTGGTAGAGCGTGGTGCTGATAATACCAAGGTCAAGGGTTTGGATCCCCGTACTGGCCAGATGCAAAAAAACCCCCACAAAACCCTCAAAAACAAAACAAACAAAAAAATCCAAGAATATCCATTCATAGATCAAAGGCTTTTTTTGGGGGTGGGGGGCAACTGGTTGGTTAGCAAAGTTAGCTAACCTGCCAGTCCCAGAGACATTTGTAATAAAACAACTTTCTAGTCCATGTCTCATTGATTTCATGTAATATTTTATTGAATGATTGTTTTTTATAACTGTAACCTCAGAAGACAAATCTGATCTACTTTTAGGGAGATAAAGAATGATTATCCGGGCCGGCCCGTGGCTCACTCAGGAGAGCGTGGTGCTGACAACACCAAGTCAAGGGTTAAGATCCCCTTACCGGTCATCTTTTTTAAAAAAAAAAGAATGATTATCCCTTTTTACTGTATAAAAGGTTAAAAAAATATAATTTCAGACTTATAGAAAATATGCAAAGTATGCAAAAATAGTACAAAGATTCTCATGTGCCTTTCATCCAGATTGAGCAAATGGTAATATTTTACCACATTTACTTTATTATTCTCTCTCTATTGTTATTTTTCTGCATCATTTCAGAGTAAATTGCAGACATGATGTTCCTTTACCCCTAAATACTTCAATATGTATTTCCCCAAACCAGGAATATTCTACTGTATAACCCCAGTATAGTTAGCTAAATTGGAAATTAGCATGGATACCATACTATTTTCTTATCTACAGACCTGATTTACATTTTGTCAGTTGCTTCATAATGTCCTTCATCGTGAAAGACACAAATTTATTATTTTCTGATCCACAATCCAATTCTGGAACACATGTAGCCTTTCATTGTCATGTCTCTAATGTAATTTAATCTGGAGAATTTCACCTTGCCATTTTTTCATCTCACCATTTTTAAAAGAACATAGGCTAGGGCCGGCCCGGTGGCGCACTGGATAAGTGCGCCGCTTGGGAAGCGCGGCGGCGCTCCCGCCCGAGGGTTCGGATCCCACATACAGACCGGTTCCCGCTCATTGGCTGAGCGAGGCGCGGGGGCAACACTGAGGGTTGCGATCCGTTGCCGGACACGGAAAACGACAAAAAACAAAAAAAAAAAAAAAAAAAGAACATAGGCTAGTTGATTTGAACTTGTCTGATGTTTCCCTGTGATTATGTGTTTTGGTAGGAATATATTAATTAGTTCATTCTTTGCCATTTAATTTAGAAATTTGAAGTTAGGCTTGGTTACTTTCTATAGAGTTGGGGAGAATTTGCCCACCTCTCATTTTTCTTGCTTTTTCCCTTTCCTACCTACCTCAGATACCCCTGAAGTTCAAAACCAAACACTCTTATTATGAATTTTCACGGTGTATTCTGATTATCTATTTAAAAGCAGAGAATTAAGGGTGAATGTTTCATATTAAAGTGACTGGACCTGTTACTTGTGAAGCATATGAAATAATACATTTCTTTCAAAGGCTGACTGTAGTTCATCCAACACAGCTTACTGAATATCTCAGTTCTTCTTTTTTTTTTTAAAAAAAAAAATATATAGCTTCAGATTACTTTCACTTTATTTTATTTATTTACTTATTTATTTTTTATTTTTTATTTTTTTCCTTTTTGTCTTTTTTCGTGTCCGGCAAGGGATCGCAACCCTCAGTGTCGCGCTCGTACCGGACCGGACCGGCAACGGGATCGCAACCCTCGGTGTTGCGCCCGCACCTCGCTCAGCCAGTGAGCGGGAACCGGTCTGTATGTGGGATCCGAACCCTCGGCGGGAGCGCCACCGCGCTCTCAAGCGGTGCACTGTAGCAGTGCGCCACCGGGCGGCCCCAGATTACTTTCATTTTAGCCTGAAGCATTTCCTTTAGCATTTCCTGTA